GAAACAAATTAGTTTAAAGACCCTTCTTAAAAGGCAAATAGGTTGAATGGACTGGATTTTTTCAGGCGAAGCATTCCAAATTTAAGGAACAACCAGGAAAAAATGTACCTGGTCAGTACAGAGAGGTGGATCTCTGTCTCTGGGAAACAAGGAAGAACCAGTGGAACAGAGAGTGTAAGAGGGACAATAATTTGACATTAAAGAAGCAAGATAAGGAGGAATGAGGCAGCACATCCTGGGAAATGGGGGCTTGTTTAACATTTGATGGGGAAAGGTGGACGGCGGTAAACAGAGCAAGGAAGAGAACCTTCTGCCCCACTATAAAGAACCCGCTAAAAGAAGATGATCAGGTGTTACAAAAAGATTGGTTACAAAAAGATTTGAACAAAGGAGTTGAATTCTTAATGACAAGTCTACCAGTCAACATCAGGCAAGAGATTTTGTTTTAATTTTGCATTCCCCCCCCCCAAGTACCCAAGGGTCGAATAATCAAATCAACCTGCGCTAGCAGTTTGGGGATACTCTCCTCTGTATCAAGTTGCATGTTTAATTTACGCAGCTAATTTAACAGAGAGGCAGTACTTAATCATCACAATCCTGACCTTTTTTCTTTTGTTTCAGCCCGTTATTATAAAAGAACATGAAATGTGTTTCTTCTTTAAAACAGTTTTATTTTCTGAGATTGAATTAGAAGTTTTTATTTCTCACTGCATGTTCCACAGTTTTTGTTCCAATTAGTTTCGTTGGCTGGTAGACCTAACCTCCACCTTCTTTCAGTCCCTAAATGTTCTTTGTCACTTGAATGTGTGGATTAGGTTTTAATTCTATAATTTTTTTTCAGGGGATCCCATTTTTCTTATAAATGAATTTGCTGTTAAAAGTGGCATAGTTTCTAACTGCATTAACTGTAGACATGACAAAAAAAGAAGGGAACTTGATGGATGATCCATTGAGATGCTACCACTTTAAGCAGCAAAGCATACACAGGTCATTGATTTTGCAAGGAAAGAAGGAATCTGAACAGATAGAATTTTTTTTAATGGTCACAATTCAGCTCAGGACGCTTAAATCCCATTGAATTTAACAAGAGTTAAGTACAGTTAATTTTGCACTGGCTGGTATTCAGCAAGCTCTAGCTTTGGCTCCCGCTCCATTCAGACATTGTACCAAACTGAACAGTAGTTTGGTGCAGCGTCTGAAAAGCAACAGTGGCTTCTGCTCAGCCCGCTAGCCAGAATCACAAACGATGGTTCAAAGTGAGTTTGCAAATTGGGCATGTCCGAGTTGACCACCCATCATCACGACTGTTTGTTGCTTTGCCCCTCCCCCCGCCAAGTCTGCTGCACCTTGAATGGGAGTGTGTCTACATGCACTTAATTCTGAGTGGACACAAAAAAGCAGGCAAGCAGTTCAGGCTGTAATTGGCCCACTGAAACCGTGGTTCAGAATCTGAACCATGAGTATAGTTTAATGTGCATCAAACCTCTGCACCTAGTTTACGGTTTAGAAACTAAACAGGGCTGCATTTATTTATTTATTTCTCGCGTGGACTCAAGGCAAATTGCATGTAGTGAGTATAGCCAACAAAATGGGATATTCAGTAACCACTAGGATATTAGAAGACTGGAAACCACCAGCTAGAACAGGAGCACAGCATAAGTATTAACACAGCACATTAAGCGGAACAGAAGTTACATAATAGGATCCTGCTTACAATGTGCTGTATACAGCAGTAAAGTCCCAATTGTTTATCCATGTAAATTTGTGAAACCATTTTGTACTTTGCAGCCTTAGTGTCTGCACAGAAAACCCTCTTGAATATTTCAGTTTTGCATAGCTTGTGGAAGAACTGGAGAGAGGGAGCTTTCCTGACCTCCTTGGGCAGGCCCAGGGGTCATTTCGTAGAAAAAGAGCTAGGGGAACTCATTAGCATAACTCATTAGCATATGCCACACACCCTGACATCACCGGAAGTGTGTCATAAGGCCACACTCCCTGAATGCGCTCGCCCGCTTCGGGAGAGGGGATCAAAGTGTAATACAAGCCTCCTCCGAGACTTGATCACACCAATCTCACCTCTCTCTTGGGTCTTGATGCCTGCCAGTCATTCCCCCTGCCTGGGGGAAGCCGCGTTAGACCAAAATATAGTCCAAACTGCTGTAAGGAACACCCGTCCACCCTGAGCACTTACAGGGTGCGTCAAATCGCCATTTTACCCCGACTGGAAGCAGGGGGCGGGGCTTCGTCATGGGCCCCGCCCCCCGCACTTCACCCGGGGGCACGGCGATCCCCCACAATCCCCCCGAATCGACCCCTGGGCAGGCCATCCCACAAGGTGGGATCCACAACAGAGAAAGCACAGGTGTCCGCGCAGTGTTCCCTCTGAGCTGAGTTAGTGTGAGCTAGCTCACAGTTTTTTAGTCTCTGGCTCGCCCATTTTTGTCTTAGCTCAGGAAGGATGGCTCCAGAGCAAACTAATTTATGCAGTAGCCAAATCGCTCACTCACAACTTTAATGCCAGTAGCTCACAAAGTAGCATTTTTGCTCACAAGACTCCACAGCTTTGAGGGAGCATTGGGGTCCAGGCAGCTGTCAATTTTATCCATTTGCAGGTGGGCACCTGAAGAAACCCCTGCTGACATGAGCGGATTTGTTGTGGTGGAGCACAGAGAGAGAGGCAGTCCCATAAATAAGAGAGGCCAAGATATATGTGATAGCCAATACCTTAAGCTGAGCTCAGTAACAAACGGGGCAACCAATAGAGGGTTTGCAGAACGGGAGTAACATGCCTGCTCCGTCTAGTATTGATGAACAAAATTTGGCACCACTGTGACAAGTTATAGAATCGCTTTGTTCAGGCTTAACTCAAAAATCAAGTTTTAATTAAATTGGGGTGGGTCCAAACATTCTCCAAGAAACCTTCCCCCAACTTCTACAGTGAGGAAAAATCCACTTAAACTGGAGGACGTCCCTTTAGGCTGCAGGGGGGCTTCTGCCTTTGCTCAGTGGAGGGGCAGGATCCACCCCCTCAGTCATGGTTAGTGGGATTGTCTGAATGTACTGAACATGGTGTTTAGTTATTGTATGTAAAACCAGGTTCTGAAACCATGCGTTGAAGTTGGTTTATTAATCACAGCCTTAATTAGGGTACTGCGTGATGTATGAATGTAGACTTCATGGCTTATTTCCTGTGCTATCCTTAGGGCAAGATTCCAGCCTGGTTTCTGCAGGGAAAGTGGAAAAGTGGTGCAACCAGTGATGAATGATGGAACGAACAAAACCAGAAATTGAACGGTTGCCTGCAAACCGAATCCTGGTTTCACAAGCCAACCATAGTTGAAATGCACTATGGTTTCATATTATGTCTGCATTGTGTAGAAATCTGAACATCTGTGTTGGGTGAACATCTGAAATTGCCAGTCATAGCCATTCTTTAGACTTTCCAGGGACTGGGCAGTGGGCACACACAGCTATTGTAGCATCTGGTAGTATCAGTTTGCCATAGGGCATGAAGCTGCTTTTAGAAGTGGGCCCTGGGTCACAAGAGAAGATGATGCGTCTTTGTCCCAAGGAGCTGCCGTAGGTGTGGGAACTCCAGGGTAGGCATGGAGCTCCTTCATGCACAAGATCTTCCCAGGCCAAAGCAGTCTGAGGAGTAGCTTTGAATGAAGGCCCACAGTGCGTGTGTGGATTTGTTCTTGATATTGTAGCTATTGGGGAAATGTGCAGTCTCAAGGGGCTTTGGGAGGGTGTGAGGCCAGCTAAAATATCATTGGATTAAGGATGTAAATTTTGACCATTATGACCCTGTTCCAACCGTAGTCTCAGGCAGCTAGCCACCCATGAATGCTGCTGGCCTAGATGGGGATTTGCACCCAAAGAGGTCACCAGCTGGCTCAGGTGGGCCCAGATAATCATCACTGTGTGGATAAGGATGTGCATCCAGATGTCCAGCAGCACACAGAAACATGCTTGTGAAGATGGTTCTCGTATGTGGAACTTGTTTGTATCACACGCCCCCCCCCCCTTGTCACTGTCAATGATAATTTGGTGAAATCTCCACACACACACCAGGCCTGTGTGCGTATGTGTATGCATGCAGGGATAACTGTCAAATGAAGACAGCTCCAAAGGGTAGCCATGTTTGGAGGTTTTGAAGCAGAGGCTGGATGGCCATCTGACAGCAATGCTGATTCTGTGAACTTAGTCAGATCATGAGAGGGAGGGCAAGAAGGGCTGCATCAGTGCTTAGCTCTTGTGGCTCTTTCTTACATGCCCAGGGAAATGCTGATTGCCACTTCGGGGTCAGGAAGCAATTTTTCTCCATGTTTGTATCACACGCCCCCCCCCCCTTGTCACTGTCAATGATAATTTGGTGAAATCTCCACACACACACCAGGCCTGTGTGCGTATGTGTATGCATGCAGGGATAACTGTCAAATGAAGACAGCTCCAAAGGGTAGCCATGTTTGGAGGTTTTGAAGCAGAGGCTGGATGGCCATCTGACAGCAATGCTGATTCTGTGAACTTAGTCAGATCATGAGAGGGAGGGCAAGAAGGGCTGCATCAGTGCTTAGCTCTTGTGGCTCTTTCTTACATGCCCAGGGAAATGGTGATTGCCACTTCGGGGTCAGGAAGCAATTTTTCTCCAGGCCAGTTTGGCCAGAGATCGGGTGTGTGTGTGTTGCCCTCTTCTGGGCATAGAGCAAGGGGTGATGGGGGGGGAGGTCTTTGTGAATTTCCTCCATTGTGCAGGGGGTTGGACTAGATGACCCTGGAGGTCCCTTCCAACCCTATGATTCTGTGTTTCTATGTTGGTCTGTAGGAGAACAGCTAGACTTAAGTCCAGTAATTTCGAGTCTATGGTCTCTAAAGTTCTACCAGACTCGAATCTAACTGTTGAATGAAAAACATGTAGATGCATATGTGGGAGAGGAATGGAAAAGAGAGCAAAGCTCTCCATAATAAAAAGTGCTTCTTTTTTTCTCCCACTTTCCAAGGTAAATTGAACAGTCAAGACACGTACAACAATTTCACCAACAACAATCCTGGGAACCCGCGCCTTTCCCCTCTTCCGAGCCTGACCGTGTTGGTCCCTCTAGCTCAAATCAAGCAACCCATGACGCTGGGAACCATCACCAAACGCACAGGGTAAATGAAACCTCTTTGAACCATTGTTCTTCTTAATAGATACAGATATGTAGTTTGAATTTTCTTTGCAATGTCCTGTAGTGTGGATTCACGTTAGCAGTGATACCTCTGTTTAATCCTTTACATTTCTCTGGTACGTACCAAAGAGAGACAATTGGATCGAAAATCAAGCGTGTAAAGAACCGCAGGGCATGTGAAGCAGCAGGGATGTAAATATTTGTCTGGAATTTTCAAAGAGATCTTTTACAGAAAAAAAATTCCGATGGCTCATTTTCTCTAAACCATTCAGGGGATTTTCTTTCTTTCTTGACATCAGAGCTAATTAGTAACTAAAACAGAAGATTTTCTGGGTTCTGCGAAACCATCTAAAGTATGTTTCCGAGGAGTATAATAGAATGTGGCGTGCACGGGAGGGAGAGTGCTCTGAGGTTCTGAACCTCTTTCTTGTTTTTCAAATTGGATCTTACTTTATTTTTATATCCTTCCCTGCCTACCACAGTTTGGTATGTTAAATTAATGGCATACTCAGGATAAAGATTGGGACGCATTTGTCACAGTGGTTTTGCTTGATCTGGGCTGGTTTCTCTAGCCTCAAAATCAGAATCACAAGGCAAGCACAATGAAGGCAAGCGGGGGCATTGTGGAACTAAAGTGCTTATCCTGGGACAAGGCTGGGGGTGGTGGTGATGGGGAGGCATGCATGTTTTGAGTGCTAGCAAACCTCTTCTGCCCTTCTGAAACTGTTGAGTCTGTCTTCGCCCACAGAAGAGTAGAGTGTTTGCTGTATCCATTTACGTCAGTCCGTTTTTAGTTTTCCGTCTCAACACTTTTCAAGTTCAATATGTTGTTATGTGGGCTCGGAGTCAACCAACCACAAAGCAGAGTCGTTTGTAGCAGAGATGTTTGCTGCCTTCTGTGTTCCCGCTGCAGGACAATATGCAGCACCCCGTGCAAAAAGGTGTTCTGAGGATTGGAGGAGACTTAGGAATGGCATCGGATGCAGCACCAGGGGCTCGAGAGGGAAGGGAGAATCAGTGGAAATGGACCGACGAAACCCCCCCCAAAAAAATCCTTGGATCCTTGGGTCTATACATGAGCGGGGGCTGTGATTTCCACCGATTTCCCCTTCCCACCCCAATCCCCTGAGCAACTTCCCATGCCGTCTGCTGAACTTCAGGGCAGATTTTTCAAGGGGAGCTGAAGGGAAGGCGACAAAGAACATTCCCATCTGGGAACGCTCTCTATTCACTGTTGAATCCATGCCATCTTCTTGATGGTAGGTCATAACAAATCAAATTTGCCCTTACAACATAACCTTTATGTGTAGCAGTTCCAAATTTGGAAACAAAACGAAGCCAAATAATATAAAATATCAGATGTTTTTAGGGAAATCTGTCACGCGGATGTTTTATAAAGCATTTAAGTTTCCAGTGCAAATGAGGCCACCTGTTTGCCAAAAGACTGGACCAAGAGTCAAAATGAGTAGGCAGAGGACTTACGTCCTGCCTCATTGTACATAGTAGAAATTAAGAAGAATCCTGTATGATTCCCCCCCATTCCCAAAACACTATGCCCATGAACTGTGTGGAATGTTTTTGTAATAGTCTCTGAGGATAGTCAGAAGAATTTGCTTTAATTATCAGCTAGAGCACACCTCAGTGAACCTGGTTTCACCAGTTCTAAGAAACCAGTGTACAGTTGTTGAGAAGGAATGGCTCGTAATGGCCTCTGGAGATAATGTTGGCTGGAGATACAGCACCTGATTTTGCCTAGACATACGATGGAAATCAGTGAACACCTGCATTTAATGCAATATGATGTTTGGATCAGCACATGACAGCACGCACGGGGCTAAGATGACACATGGGTTTTGGGTTGAAGCCTCAGCAGGACTGGTGCAGTGGTTAATTGCACGGACTCTAATTTGGGAGAACCGGGTTTGATTCCCCACTCCACTTGTACCTGCTGGATGACCTTGGGCAAGCCATAGTTCTGGCACAGCTGTTCTTGCAAAGAGCATTTTCTGTCAGAACTCTTTCAGCCCCACCTGCCTCACAGGATGTCTGTTGTGGGGAGGGGAAGGGAAAGGAGTTTGTAAGCCGCTCTGAGACTCCCTTGAGTAGTGAAGGGCAGGGTATAAATCCAATCTCTTCTTCTTTATCATCATCATTGTTACCATGTTGACTTGGTCGAATCTAGGCGGGAGAACCCACAAATGCTTGCTCGGTGCTGAGAGCCATGTTGGAAAAGCATCTTGAGCTGTAGAAAAGTTGCATTTGTGAGTAGAGGATAACTGGCATAACACATGCATATGGATGCCCAGGGGTCCCCAATATATCAGTCTAGGGTGGGACTGATACTTGGCCCCTTGTTTGCTGACCTTTTCCAATTTTTTGGCCATCTAATTTTCAAACTTATCCAGGAAAATGAAAGAAAAGTGAGATCCTTGCAATTGTAGCCACCTGAAGGCCCCTGACTAGCCTGATGTTGCTGGAGTTTGGAAGCTTAAGCAGGATCAAGTGTGGCTAGTACTTGGATGGGGAGACCCATCAAGAAGTACTAGGGTTGCTGTGCAGAGGAAGGCAGTGAGAAACCACCTATGATCATCTCTTGCTTTAAAAAAAAAGATTTTATTAACCATAACTGTCACGGTACCTCTCTTTTCTTTTGTGTGATGTAGTTTTAAATTTCTTGTTGTCTCTTTCTCTCACTCACAGTATCTAACACGGCCTCCAGGAATTTAATTGCAGTCTTTAATTAATCTCTCCCACAGTATTGTGCCCAAGCTCTAAGGCTCCTTCCGCCCACACACTCTCAGTCCCCAACCAATCACCTCACTCACTCATCTCCCTCTTTCACCCCCCCTTGTTCTTCTGACACTTATAGGGCTGCCAAGCCGCGGCGGGGGATCCGTGCGACTTCACAGGATCCCTGCCGCGGGGGACAGCGATACGCGTTGCGCCGCCGTCGCGGTGCTACACGTATCGCTGTCCCCCACGGCAGGGATCCTGTGAAGACGCATGGATCCCCCGCCGCGGCTTAGCAGCCCTAGACACTTACCAACTATTTAAAGAAACACACACATATAACTTGAAATCATTATAGTAACATATAGGAATACAGATATAATAAATTCAGATAAAATAAACATAAAACAATCATTAACCCATATAATTAAAAAAAGTATTACTTATAAGATTATAAGTATCTAAAAATCATCTCTTATCTTAAAAGCCCCATGGTCCTGGGGTCACCATAAGTTATTTGCAATTTGACGGCACCTTATTATTGTTGACATTGTAGTCCAGATATTTGAGGTGCATGTAAATGCTGTGCCGAGCCTTACCATGTCCCATACCTGCTATACCTGTTGTCATAAACAGGCCTTTTAAGGCTCAACTCACACATATGTACTCTGCTAATTGTCCACAGACACTGAGCTTGCACATGGTAAAAATAAAAATAAACTTAACAAGGGTGTTACAATGATTTTTTTTTTTGGAACTTCTTTCCTTTCTCTCCCCATTTTAAAAATGGGTGTGGGGGAGGTCACCCAGTGTTCAGATTTCAAATGAGAAATTATATCATAAACATAAATGCCATGTTTCATTGTAATAATTTGATGCTCAGTGTAGTTGTCCCATTTCCATCTTTTCCTCCTTCCCCCCTAAACGGGATGTGGGGGTTGAGCTGTTCTTTCAGTGAAATGTCCAACTGAGCCAGAACACGTACCAAACATAGTTCCAATGGTAACTCTTCAGCATTTCAGATAGAAGCTTTGCTTAACAGGATGCCTTTTAAAATAAACATATTGTCTTAAAATATTTTTCTTGTGTTACCTTCCATCAGGCAGTGGAGGCAGCTATTGCTGAAGCATTTTTTTAAAAAATCAGCACATCAATCAGATCTCCAGTGACCAATCAGAAGCCCTACTGGGCAGAAGCACCACCCGACCCCACCCACATTCTAAAAACACTTGGCAGATTCCAGGAAAGTTGTCGACAGGCACCAAGGCACATTGGGGACCCTTGGAGTGGTCGAGGCAGAGTTTTCTGCTGGGAAAATCCCCCTCTTGACTGTTCCGTCTGCCATGAAACAATTCACTAGATGGCCTTAGACAAGCCTCTTCCTTTCAGCCTCACCCCTCTCCTTCAGTCTGCAATATGAGACATACCCTGCCTTTTTTCATTGTGTGTGGTGGTTCAAGGTTCTCCTTCATCTTGAGACACAGACCAATTTCACACAAGAGCTGCACTGCGGTCGCACCTCCCTTTGCCCCGCTTCTATTGGTCAATTTCCCACTCGATGCCATGCGGCCACATTTTGACCCACGGCTTCGACCGATTTTCCCTGCGGTTTCGTGATTACCAAGATGGTCTTTGGTAGCTCAAATAGTGCAGTAGTGTTGCTATTATCATTGTGATGTTTGCCTGGCATATACTGGATACTGACCAGGTCTGGTGGACTGAAATTTTCTCAAACCAGCTTGATATCGACTATTTGTTTATCTGCTTATTACGTTTCCGTCCTGTCTTTCTTCCATCATGGAAGACATTTTACAGAGTGTTCCCAGTAGGTCTTCCATCCTGGACATGGATGTTGCTTCTATCTGAGTCAGTCATTTAATGCAGCTTCCCTGTAAGACGATATATCTTAAGCACAAGGGCTTTTGAGGGGATCTGGGTAAAGAAAGATAGGCATTTATTTTCTTTTAGATTGGAGCTGATCTACACTTTATGCAGCAAGATATGGTGGACTGAGGAGGATAGGATTCTGGATTGGACCACCTGAGATCGAGGGTATCTGTCATGCTTTTGAATACTCTCTTACATTAAAAAGAAAATTGTTTTCTGTTTATAATAGATCAGCATCTCAGAGAGAGAGAGAGAGACAGACAGACAGAGAGAAGTTTATCTTCTTGTTAAGCTTCTTTACTTCAACATATGGTCAAGCATTCAAATAGTTCACCTTCCCTAGCACCCAGTATCAAAATTTAGTAT